AAAAAAAAAAAAAAAAGAAATAAAAGAGAAGTTACAACTGACACCAAAGAAATACAAAGGATTATAAGATCTAAGAGACTACTGTGAAAATTTATACACCAACAAACTGGACAACCTAGAAAAAATGGATAAATTCCTAGAAACATACAATCTTCCAAGACTGAATCAGGAAGAAACAGAAAATCTGAACTATGACTCACAAAACTGAAACGGTAACTTAAAAACTCCCATGAGGCGCCCATGGTACAGTGGATTAAGCTTCCAACTCTTGGTTTCCACTCAGATTGTGATCTTAGGGTCCTGAGATCAAGTCCTTGTTGTGCTCCCTGCTCAGTGTGGTCTGCTTGAGAACCTCTTTCCCTCTGCCCCTCTCACTCATGCTTGCACTCTCTCAAATAAATAAACCATTAAAAATTTATAAAAACTCCTAGGAAATAAAATTCTAGGACCAGATGAATCCTCCTAAATACTCAGAGTTGATTGATACCTTTACATCTCAAACTATTCCAAAAAATCAAAAAGGAAGGAATGGTTATGAGGTCAGCATTAACCTGATACCAAAACCACTACAAAAACAGAAAATTACAGGCCAATATTCCCAATGAACACAGGCACAAATATCTTCAACAAAATATTAGCAAACTGAATACAATACATTAAAAAGTTCATTCATCATAATCAAGTGGGATTTATACCAGGGATGCAATGACAGTTCAATATCCACAAATCAATCATCATGATGCACCACATTAACAAAATGAAGCATAAAAATCATATAATCATCACAACAGATGCAGAAAAGTTTGGCAAAATCCAATATCCATTCATGATAAAAGCACTTAGCTAAGTTATATAGAGGGAACATACCTCAATAAAATAAAGGCCACCCACACATGAAAACCCACAGGCAGCATCATAAAAGCTGAAAGCTTCTCCTTAAAGATCAGGAACAAGACAAAGGATGCAGACTCTCACACTTTTAATCAACAGGTTACTGAAGTCCTAACTACAGCAATCAGACAAGAAATAAAAAGCATCCAAAGTAGTTAAGGAAGAGGTAAACTTTCACTCTTTGCAGATGATATAATATTAGGAATAGTATTAAGATGGAAAAAGTCAAAAAGTCATTAGAACTAACAAATACTTAGGTAAAATTGCAGGATAAAAATTAACATAGAGAAACCTGCTGCATTTCTGTATATTAATAAAAAGCTAGCAGAAAGTGAAATTGAGAAAACAATTCCATTTACAATTGCATTGAAAAGAATAAAATACCTAGAAATAAATTCAGCCAAACAATGAGGTGAAAAATCTTTCCTCTAAAACCAATTAAGACACTGATTAAAGAAATTGAGGATGACACTAATCAATGGAAAAAATATATATGCCTATGGACTGGAAGAACTAACATTGTTTATATTTGTTCTACCCTAAGCAATCTATAGATTCTATGCAATCTCTATCAAAATACCAACAGCATTTTCCACAGAACTAAAACAAATAATCCTAAAATTTGTATAAAACCACAAAGGAGGGGCACCTGGGTGGCTCAGTGGGTTAAAGCCTCTGCTTTCGGCTCAGGTCATGATCCCAGGATCCTGGGATCGAGCCCCACATCAGGCTCTCTGCTCTGCGGGGAGCCTGCTTTCTCCTCTCTCTCTCTCTGCCTGCCTCTCTGCCTACTTGTGATCTCTATCTGTCAAGTAAATGAATAAAATCTTTAAAAAAAAAAAAAAACACAAAGGACCCTGCAAAAGCCAAAGTGATCTTCAGAAAGAACAAAGCCAGAAATCTCACAATCCCAGATTTTAAACTATACTACAAAGCTATAGCAACCAAAACAGTATGTTATTGGCATGGAAATAGACACAAAGATCAATGGAACAGAAGAGTGAAACCAAAAATAGAGCCACACATTATGGCCAATTCATCTATGACAAAAAAAGGCTAGAATATACAATGGGGAAAAGATAGTCTTCAATAAATGTTGTTGGGAAAACTGTACAGCTACACGCAAAAGAATGAAACTGGACCACTTTCTTACATCATACATAAAAATAAATCCAAAATGGATTAAAGACCTAAATTAAGGCCTGAAACCATAAAACTCTTTAAAAACAAAACACTGGTCAGTAAACACTTGGATATCTGTTTCAGCAATATTTTTTTAACTGTCTCTACAAACAAGAACAACAAAAAATAAACAACTGAGACTACCTAAAACTAAAAATACTTTTGCACAGCACAGTACAGGGAACCATCAACAAAACAAAAAAGTCAATATAATGACTTCTCCCATATTTGCAAATATATCTGATTAAGAAATTAATGCCCCAACTATATAAAGAACTCCTAGAACTCAATACCAAACCTGAAACAGTTGGATTTAAAAATGGGAAAGGAGCTGAACAGGTACTTCCAAAGACATACAGATGGCCAAAAGACACATGAAAAAATGCTCCACATCAGTCATTATCAGAGTAACACACAAAAAAATCACAGTGAAATTACCTCACACCTGTCAGAATGGCTAGTATCAAAAAATGTAAGAGAAGTAAGTGACAGGGAGGATGTGGAGAAAAAGGAACCCTCCTGCTGTTTGTGGGAATATAAATTGGTACAGCCAGTATGAAAAATAGTAGGGAGATTACTCAAAGAAGTAAAAATGGAACTACTATACAATTCAATTCCATTTCTGGATATTTACTAGTAGAAAACAAAAGCACTAACTCGAAAAGACATCTGTACCCCTATTTCATTACAGCATATTTACAAGAGCCAAGATATGAAAGCAACCTACATGTCAATCAACAGATGAATGGAAAAAGATGACACACACACAATGAAATATTACTCAGACATAAAAAAGAAAAATGAAATCTTGCCATCTGTGCCAACATGGATGGACTGAGGGTGTATTATGCTAAGTGAAGTAAGTTTGACAGAAAATAAGAAATACTGTATGATTTTACTTACATGTAGAATCTAAAAGCAAAAACAGACTTAAAAACACAGAGAACAAATTTATGGTTGCCAGAAGGGAGAGGAGTAGAGATGGGTCAAATAGGTGAAGGGGATTGAGAAGTACAAACTTCCAGTTATAAAATAAGTAAGTCTAAGAGATATAAAGTACAGCATAGGAAATATAGTCAATTACACTGAAATAACTCTGTAAAGTGACATATGATGACTATACTTAGCGTGGTGAGCATTTTGTAATGTATAAAAATGTCAAATCACTAGGCTTGTATGACTGAAACTAATGTAATATTATGTCAACTGTACTTCAAAAACATTATTATTCAAAGCCCTAGACCAAACCAAAAAGGCAGACCTGTGACTTGTATAAGCTTTTTTTTACTAATTGTTACTGAATAATTAACCAGTTCAGGTCAATGTTAAGTGACAGAAGTTACCTACTTTATGTTCAACTGTACATAAAAGAAAAAAATTAAAAACCAAAATTATACCTAGAGACAACTTTTCATGTAGCTGTTGCCTTTCCAACAATTTGAAGATTTAAGTGTAATTTTCATAACATTTAAATGTAGTTCTTAAATAAGGTAAGCAGAGTTAGCAGATGAAAATATATGATATTTGGTTAAATGTGAATTCCAGTTAAACAATGAGTAATTTCGCAAGTGTAACTAAGTACCATGTAATATTGAAGAAATATTTATACTAAAAACTCTCTCCCATGTTAACCAGGGCCCAGGGTCCTTAGTTGAACAGAAGAGTTTGGAAATCCTTGTCCTTCATTCCCCTACTGGGAGAGAACCTGGTTACACAGTAACTCTTTCCCTTATTCTTCCCCTTTACTCTTGCCTTTACTGTAAAGTATTTTTGACATAAAAAGGCAAAATAATAATGTACTGGATATCTACAACTACTTCCTCAGCTTACAAAATATAATCTTAGAGGATCTATTTCTTCAGATACTCTACTCTTCCTTATACAAAAAAAACCATGTTGTTATTTTTCTACTACACATGTATACATTCCTAGACAATGCAGAGTAATTTCCAAATTTTATATAAATACCATATTATACTTCTACAACTCTTGGCTGAACACATATTCTGAGAATTTATAATGTTGAGGTATTATTTCTAGTTCATTCATATTTTCTGTTGTATTATATTCCTTAATGTATACTCACAATTTATTAATTCTTTCCCTTATTGATAGATCTATGTCATTTCTTTTTGCAATTATAAACAAGGTTGCTGCAAACAATCTTTCCGTATCTTCTTGTGCATCAGAGTTTCTTTAGAAAACTAATTTGCCGAATTGTTTTCCATAGTACCTAGACATACTTACACTACTAGCGGTCATAAATTTTAACAGTCACAGACATTTACTACACCATTACAGATAAACTTACCATTAGACATAAACATACTTCTATATACTAAGAATGAGCACATCGAAAACCTAACTAAAAACAAGATATTGGGGCACCTGGGTGGCTCAGTGGGTTAAAGACTCTGCCTCCAGCTCAGGTCATGATCCCAGGGTCCTGGGATCGAGCCCCGCATCAGGCTCTCTGCTCAGCGGGGAGCCTGCTTCCTCCTCTCTCTCTGCCTGCCTCTCTGCCTACTTGTGATCTCTGTCTGTCAAACAAATAAATAAAATCTTTAAAAAAAAAAAAAACAGGATATCACTTAAATATGCTATTTACAAAATATCAGTTCCACAGAAAATTAAATACTTAGGTATATATTTTAAACATATACCAAAAAACAAAATAAAACAAAAACAAAACAAAAAATAAAAAAATAAACATATACAAAACCTGTATGGTAAAAATTATAAAATGATAATTAAACAAATCAAAGAAAAACTGAATAAAAGGAGAAATGTACCCTATTCTAGACTGGAAGATTCAATGTAGTAATCACGTTAATTCTCCCAAAATTTATCTGTAAGTTTAATCAATTCCCATCAAAATACAATTACCTGGTGAAATAAAAGGAGTATAAAAATAAGAAAATACAAACCAATAGCATGTGTAATGACCGCAGGTTTTTGTTGACATTGAAATGCTTTTGTAGTACTTCTCGCACACTTCTATCTTCTGTGAGACCCTAGAGAGAGGAGAAAAAAAAAAAATCAAAATAGGTTAAGTAACGGCAGTTTAAAACCTAACTATAATGTGCCTCACTAGTTGGTGTACCTCATTAACTCTGATATTTATTCATTATTAAATAGGTATTGGTTTTATTTGTAGAAACAAAAATCAAAACGAAACTTCCAGTCTATTGTTTTCTTATCCCTTTATGTTAATTAAATATACACAGAAACAAAACACAATACCTGCTACCCGAACTTTCTGGTCTAAAAAGGCAAACCATATAGTCATACCAGTGGGATGATCATAATTCAGCACAAAACACAACAGAGAGTAAGAGTTACCATGTTTGGAAACACAAGGTAAAGCAATACAAAGAATGCTTAAATTATATGAGTCATTAAGCTAAAAAGAAAGTGTGTTCCAGTTATAGGGAACAGTATGAGCAATACAGGAAGATCATGGCATACTAACAGAAAATGGGTAGTCATGTAACCCTGAGTTTCAGTTATTGGTGAAGTGATTTCATGGAAAAGACAATGACAGAAAAACCTAATTGTAGGCCACTGCAACTGTCCATGTAAGAGACAAAAAGGGTCTGAATTAAAATAGTGCGAACAGAGAATTAAGACATTTATAGAAGACATGGTCTGAAGGAGAGTCAAATGGTGATGTGTGGAGAAGCAAGGGCTTGAGAAAGTGAAGAAAAAAATCAGAAATAATATTCTGGGGTCAGAACATTCCAGGAGGAATGAAGAGTGAAATGTGGTCAAGAAGTGAAACTTGGTTATTAATATTAAAGAACAAAATAGAAAAAGAGCAAAGAGACTGAGAAAGGTACTGAAGACTGGAAGAGAATCCAAGAGAGAGCAATTAAACCAAGGGAAGAAAACTTCAGAAGGAAGTAATGATCAACAATGTAAATTACTTAGTATGATTAAACAAATATATTTGAGAAGAACTAATCACATTGGAAATTTGGAGAATAAGATCCTTTGAAAAAGCAGTTGTGACTGCAATGAATCACAATTAATAAAAAATAAGGTACACTTGGTATTATAGAAAAAATTAGATATACAGAGAGTAAATTCATAGCTGGCAGAGCCAAAAACAAAGTGGGGAAGACTGACATAAATTTTCAAAAATCATCTGTAACAAATGAGGATACTTTTTCTTAGAACAAACAAAAAACCCCGAAAATCTTATTTTCTAGAGGTAAAACTGTTATATTTCTACTTCCACTGCAGGAAGATCCAGATTCAGGAATAAGTTCTAGTCTAATGAAATAAAGTTTTATGCTTTCAGTAAATATATTATCCTAGTTATAGTCCTCATTCCCTTGTCATTATTTTCAGTATTCTCTCTGAACTTAACAGCATTTGCTTGCTGTTACTATACATATCTTTTTCTTTTCTTTTTTTTTTTTTTTTTGAGAGAGAGAGAGAGATCCAAGTAGGCAGAGAAGCAGGCTCCCTGCTGAGCAGAGAGCCAGATGCGGGGCTCGATCCCAGGACTCTGACCTGACCTGAAGGCAGAGGCTTAACCCACTGAGCCACCCAGGTGCCCTTATACATATCTTTTTATCATAAAAGGATCAGATATTCTCTGAGAGTACACAAAATGAACACAAAATAATAAAGCAAAGTAGTACACATAAAAAAACTTTTGGGAATTAATTGCAGTTTTATTAAAACTATAAAAAAATTACCTGGAACAAAAATATTGGTAGAAGAAATTTTCTCCCTAAGAATCAATTATTTTTAATAACAGTTAACTGCTTTTCTTCTACATGATGCTTCAAAAGGCTAACCTATATTCTGTTTGCGTTCTTATATTTTTAGAGGTCTGAATCCAACTCCCCATCTTTCTTAAAGCTATCACCTTCTTGCTTCCATAATTACTTAATGTGCTTTAAAAAAAAAAGTCTAAAAGATCTATATATGTGAGCCATTAAAAAAAAAACAACAAACCTTATTAGACTTTCACCTTGATTCCAACACTATAAACTACTTGGAGATAAGGCTATTATATGATAGTCATTGAACATATTAGATCTTGGGTTTTGAAACACGACTAAATTTCTCATTTTTCTGGATAGAAAGCTCCCTTATAGCTGGCTCAGGAAATGACACAAGAGAAATAAAGACAGAGAATGACTGACTGACATCACCCTTATAGGAACATGGGGAAATTCCCAGAAACAAAACAGATCTCTCCTGTTATTCAAGGAAGCTGAAATACTAACTTTTCACTGATGAACACATGAGTAGAAGTTGCAGAAGCAAGTTCTTATTGTACCAATGTTATAGTTTGCCTGCCTGGTGCCCTCTCCACAGGCAGATTCTAAGCAGAATGTAACACAGTTTCACTAATATCTCAGAACTCATGATGCTCCAGGGATAACTCAGTGGCAGCAGGATATGTACTAAACCTCCTAGTCAATCTTCTCACCTTCTGTTAACTAAACAGGGAAGATTATGACAGTAGGTAAATGTTCCTTGAACTTAGCTATAGTACTCTGAGGGAATTTCCTTTGAGAAGAATTAGTTATGATCCTTTAAAATGTTCTTTCATACAAGGATTTCTCCTTATACTGTCATGCTGAAATGGTGTTTACTTTGCTTAACTAATTTGTACCGCTAAAACATTCACGTTAGATGGTATGTCTAGGTTCTACGCTATCCTGAAAATATTTCTTGGATGAGATTCCACAGGGACCTGTTATCTATACCATTGTTTCTGTTTTAACGTGGGAATAAGAAAAACTTGCTGGGTAGTCAGTACTGAGAGAAAGGATAGCTCCCTCAGTGTAACCCCCCCTTTACTGGGCAAGGCCTCTGGCCATGGTGCTGACATATATTTCAAGCGAAGCTCACCCATTAGCATACCAAAGGGAAGTGGCAAATGAGGATGAGGATTAAGGGAACAAAATACTAGAACTAAGAGACAAAAACTGCAGTGGTACTAGTTCTACATTATAAAAGAAATGCAAGATGGTAAAACAAAAAAACAAAACAAAACAAAACAAAAAAAACCTAAAAAACAAAAGGATAGTGCTCACATTCATTTCTACCATCTGCCCCCAAATTCAGTAATACAGAATCAGCAAAAAAGGACCACAAACCTAAGGGTTAGCCACCTTCCTGCTACATGGTTACCATTTTCGCAGTCACCCAGAATTATGCTTCACCAGTAATCCTTTTCATCTAGTTGCTTTATATACCTACTTGGATTCACAGAATGCAATATTCTGTGAAGGACTGAAAAGTGTCAGCACTATATCACCCGGGCTAGGTAGTCATCTTAGGAAAAGAAAGGGAACAGAGACAGAAATAAAAGTTGTGGCAAAGCAAAGATATTTAAATATTATGAAAGACTGCATTTGAATCTCTAAAGCAGTCAGAAAAACATACTGTTGTAACAAGATAATCAATTCAGGTGAAAAGTGAAAGTCTGTGAGGCACACTGTAAGGTGGATTCAGAGGTCAAAGATGCAGAGCTGCTCCACACCAGGCCTAGGTAAGGAAAGGGACAATGTGGGAGTACCAAATATAAAGGGTTCCTAAAGAATAGAATCTTATAAGAGTATCAAAAAAACTTATCTGGGGGGCACCTGGGTGGCTCACTTGTTAAGCGTCTGCCTTCAGCTCAGGTCATGATCCCAGGGTCCTGGGATCAAGCCCCACATCAGGCTCTCTGCTCAGTGGGAAGCCTGCTTCTTCCTCTCCCAATCCCCCTGCTTGTGTTCCCTCTCTCGCTCACTGTATCTCTCTGTCAAATAATAAAATCTTAAAAAAAAAAAAAAAAAAAACTTATCTGGGCTAAAAACATCTCAGTCCCAGACAAGATTAATCTGAGGAGAAGGAAAAACCCACACCTAATTATATCATAGAACAATATCTGAATTTTAAGGATTAAGATAACCATTTTTACACACAATTCTGTATAGTTATACAACGAAAAATAATATAAAATTTTCAATCAGAACAAAATAGAAAAGGTAAAACAAAATAATACACAAAGTTTGAACTCCTTCTATAAAAACAACTTTAGTATGCATAATATTTGAAAGGCTATAAACCAAATAATTACTCTGTAGTATTAGGAAGTAGAATGGGCATATATATAAGGCAAATTTGTACCTTTTAACATGTATTCTTATGCTCTGATTAACTTTTAGTAATCTCTACACCCAATGTGAGGCTTGAAACCACACAACCCCAAGATCAGGAGTTGCATGCTCTTCTGACTGAGCCAGTAAGGTGTTCCCTTGTTCAGTGAACTTTTAATTTTAAAAAATGAGAAGTGCCATATAAATAGTGCTTAGATTAGCAGATTATATTTTATAATCAAACAAGAATCAAATTTCAGTTTTGCAAGATGAGTAAATTTTGGAGTATAGTAACTGTAAAAATGTGACTATGGTTTAATACAGTACTGTACACTTGAAATTTGCTTAGAAGACAGCTCGTAAGTATTCTCACCTCTTCCCACAAAGGAAATAAAAAAAGAGAGAAAAAAAGAAGAGAAAGAAAATGGTAACTACTGAGGTGATGGATGCCTTGAATAGCTTCACTGTGGTATTTCTTGATGTATATGCATTATGCATATCATAACATCAAGCTGTCTACCTGAAACATATATAATTTATTTGTCAATTTACTGTCAATTTATTTTGTCAATTGTATCTCAACAAAGCTGGGAAAAATTAAAAAATTATTTAAGAACAAAATAAATGCAAAATCCTTTAAATTTTTTTTTTGGTTGAATTTTTTTTAAAACTTTTATTTATTTTTTAAATTCCTTTTCAGCATTCCAGAAATGTTTCACTTTTAATTTGGTATTGATATTTAAGATCAAAATCACGACTGCTTTGCAAATCAGTATTTGTATATTCTTTGGGTAAATACCCAGTAGTGCAATTGCTGGATAGTAGGGTACTTCCATTTCTAACTTTTTGAGTAACCTCCATACTGTTTTCCACAGTGGCTATACCAGTTTCAATTCCCACCAACAGTATGAAAGGGTTCCCCTTTTTCCATGTCCTTACCAACATTTGTTGCTTCCTAGGTTAATGTTAGCCATTCTGACAGGTGTGATGTGATATCTCATTGTCGGTGTGATTTGTATTTCCCTGATGATAAGTGACTTTGAGCACCTTTTCATGTATCCATTAGCCATCTGTATGTCTTCTTTGGAAAAATGTCTATTCATGTCTTCTTCCCATTTTTAAACTGGATTATTTGTTTTTCTGGGTATGGAGTTTGATAAGTTCTTTATATATTTTGGATACTAAGACTTTATTTAGCAGATATGTCATTTGCAAATATCTTCTCTCATTCTGAAGGTTGCCTTTTAGTTTTGTTGACCGTTTCCTTTGCTGTGCAGAACGTTTTTATCTTGATGAAATCCCAATAGTTAATTTTTGCTTTTGTTTCCCTTGCCTCAGGAGATTTATCTAGTAAGAAGTTGCTATGGTCAAGGTCAAAAGGGTTGCTGCTTGTGTTCTCTTCTAGGACTTTGATGTTTTCCTGTCTCACATTTAGGTCTTTTAGCCATTTTGAATTTATTTTTGTGTAGCATTACTAACAGCAGCCAAATTATGGAAAGAGCCCAAATGTCTATCAGTAGATAAATGGATAAAGAAGTTGTGGTGTGTATATAAAATGGAATATTACTTAGCCATAAAAAAGAATGAAATATTGCCAGTTTCAACGGCATGAATGAAACTAGAGATATTATGCTAAGCAAAATAAAGTCAGCCAGAGAAAGACAAATATCCATTTCACTTAAGTGGAATTTAAACAAAATAGAAGAAAATAGGAGGGAAAAAAAGAGAGGCAAACCAGGAAACAGACTCTTTTTGTTTGTTTTTAAGATTTTATTTGAGAAAGAGAAAGAGTGGGAGGGAGAGGGAGAGATAGAACATGAAACAGACTCTGCGCTGAGCACAGAGCCTGATGCAGGCATCAACCTCATGACTGCAAGATCATAACTTAAGCCAAAACCAAGAGTCGGACACTTGAATGACTGAGGCACCTAGGTGCCCCTAGACTCTTAACTATAGAGAACAAACTGAAGATTGCTGTAGGGGAGGTGGGTAGGGGTTGGGTTATATGGGTTGTGGGTATTAAGGAAGGCACTTTTTGTGATGAGAACTGTGTGTTATATGTTAGTGATGAACTGCTGAATACTACACCTAAAACTATTATTACATTGTATATTAACTAAATGGAATTTAAATAAAAACTTGAAACTACAATAATAAAATAATTACTGCTCTGACATAAAAAAATTTTTTAAGAGTCAGTGAATATATATTTTGCAACTTTAATTATCCGAAGATCTAATCATCCTCATCAGTATTTAATATCATAGACCAGGTTTTCCCAATTCTTTCAAAACCAAGGATTCTACACTATTTTCTACTTTCAGAAGACCCATATTTTTGGAAGATTCTACCATGTGGGATTTATTCTGCAACACTGTTTTTCAATTGTGTTATTAAACACAGTCCCATACATATATTCTCTCCTTTCTCTCTGCCAACTGAAAACTCTTGACAATGTAAGATAAACTTATGCTAGTATGTTGAGTTGATATGACAATGGTCTACATAAGTTAGGCTCTTCAATGTAAGTGTAGATAAAATTAGAGTCCACAAGGTTTAGTAAACCTTTATATCAACATGTGAGTGTGCGTGGGTAGCTAAGACCCTGAGAGCTCCAGAGATGATAAGATGAGATTCACCAATATACACAATACAACTTAAAAGACCCAATGAAATAAAAGCTGAAACTGTATGAGAATCAGGGGTGGAGGGAAAATCCATACTGGATAATTAGTTAGGTATGAACCACTAAGCTAAAAAACCTGCTAAACTAATAAATAATGAAAATAATATTTTTATAATATTCTAAATATTAATAGAATAATCTAAAATTATAAGACAGATAGAACAAAAAATCTCATTAAAGTTCTTTTGAGAGAAAAAATTTAGGATATGACAAATGTCTTTTAAAGAAAATAACACATACAAAGTATATAATTTGTATTAATACAGTTTTATGCTACAATAACATGAGAAACTTTCTGCTAATTTACAAATTTGTTTAAATTTGTAGGTTTTTATAAGCTTTCAATGGTACAGTAGGCACAAAAACTATTTAAACATTATTGCCTCTGTTCCAAGTTACCTGAACATTCTCATTCCACCTCTCAGTGAAGATCTTGTCTGGAAATTCTGCAGGTAGAGATAATTGTTCTTTAAATATTTTAAGATACTGTGGAAATCCAAATGAATTCATTAAATGTATCTGCCGGTGAGAAAATCGTGACTTCACTCTTTTTTCTAAGAGTTCCAAAATATCCTTAAAAACAAATAAAAATCCATATAAGGTGCATGTTAAAAAAAAAACAAAACAACATACCAATATTAGAGGTATACATATTTGAACTATCACTATAATTAACAATGCTTCACCTGTAATACACAATTAAGCATTTTATTCAAGCCTCCAAAAACTCCAATCACTGCCTTCATTTCCTTACAGTTATGTAAGCCACTTTTAATAATCCCCTTCTAAGCATCTGTAGGCCTGGTGATGTCATGTCTTTTTCCTACTATGCTATTCTCAGTTAAGCTTTAACATTTCAAGACCAATAATAATGGCAAAAAAAAATGTGACTATTATTGAATAGTTCTCTGCCACACTAACACCAAGAATTTCAATAAAGAATTTCATATATTCTATGAAAAATTCATATTAAAAATAGTAAAATGTAGTAAATCTATTAATTGCTGAAAATGTAAACACTGTTTTATATAACAAAGACTCAGGAAGTAGCAAATGTAATGGAGAAGAATTGTTTACTACCTATAAATTCAATGAACTGATGGAACAAACTATCGGAGAGGAAACTTGCAGGAACACAGCATGACACTGTTAAGTTATTCTGTCTTTTGACTTTTTTACAGTGTTATTTTAGAAACTACTTGCATTTGTGCTATTTTTCCTTAAGAAGTTAGATATCAACTTTTTTATTGTCAATTTTCTGTAAGAAAAAATGTAAAAAAAACAAAACAAAAAACTGTGGTAAGGCCCTAAAATATGGATTTTTAAATCTACCCGGATGATTTTCATCATAGCTAGGTTAAGAAACCAATCATATAGAGGAAAGAATTCAAGTGATCAAAACGGGATCATGGTTAGTCTGGAAAAGAAGACAGGAAAGATTAATAGCTTGGGGTTGGCAGAGAGAAAGTGAATGAAAAACCTGGAATGTTTTTATAGGTCAAAGAAAAATACAGTGCCAGCATAATTAAAAGAGAGTGAAGTTTTATGTTCAGAAACAGCTATATTATAAATTTTCTATTAATGAGGAGCTCTAGATCATCCGTGTACAGGTGGCTGAAAAGCAGTGTAAACAACACTCAATGCCAGCAATAATTAAGAGCTTGAACTTGGGAATGGAAAGAAGGTGGAGGTAAAAGGTACTTTAGTTGTGAACAGTAATGACTGAAGTTTGCAATGTGAAAATAAAGGGAATAGTAAAAAAAACAACTACTTTCACAGAGAAGAGGTTGTTTGCTAGCCAAGTCACTAATCCAACTATCCTTTCAAACACAGACATACAGATAGACCTGAACTGCACAGCTGGAAGAATTATACTATAGAATTTTTAAAGGCCTATGTAACACTGCTAAAGAGCACCTGATTCTTTATTTGGTCCTTCAATGGGTCAGTAACGTTTGCCACTGCTACTTCCACCCAAAGGTTTGGGTTTTTTTTTTTAGCAAGAAGAAAGATGCTTCCTTAACTCCTGTGGTATAACTGCTGCCTTGACAAGAAGGAATAAAGATAAAACAAAGAGGCAGATGTTTTATGGGGAGGCTTATTATGAAGGCATATATTATAAACTCAAGAGCACTGGGGAAAGAGGACAGAGAAAAACACTCCACAGAAAAACAACACTGAAAGGAAGGCTTTTGAAAGATGACTTAGTAAATTATTTCACTTTTCTAAAAAGGAAACTGCTGCAAGAAAGGAAAATAAGTAAATGGGCCTGACCACAAACCTGCCAAGAATGAAGGAGGGAAAAGAAGAATGAAAACAGACTCGTGGCAGCCATCTATGAGAAGAGAGATGACTCTTAAATACCAGTTTTACCTGAATTCAGTAAGAAAGTTTATGATGTAAAAGAAGATTAAAAAAAAAAAAAAAAAAAAGGCCTGTGTAGCTATCTGAAGTATATAAGGTTCATGATGTAGAGAGTCTTCATAAAGTAATGTGATAGTGACACTGAGACTATGGTTAAAATCATTCTAAAATCACCCCCAAGAAGCAAAGAAGCCACTATCTACTGTTGACAGATTGAGAGAAGTAATCCCTTCCATTTCTGGAGATGACTACTTAAAAAATGGGATACTATCATTTTTACTCGATTCTAAGCATTTTCAAAATATAGGAACAATCTTAAATACAGAAGTAAAAACTATGGATGATTTTTATAAAATAGTGATAGGATTTTCTCTCTACTTGCTAATGTAGAAATTACACTAGCATAATCTGACTTCACATTTTTTATTCAGTGATTTAACTGGAGGGAGAGAGGTATTAGTTCATGAGCATGTGTCATAAATGTTTTGTTTTCTTCAATCTGAGTTGAAAAGTAGGATAAATGCACCAGGCACTACTAAAACACATCTGAAAAAATGTCTGATATAATGACCTACATAAGTGATGATATCAGTAAGCTTTAATTTTCTAAATATAATCAATTTTTTAATAGAAAAACTTACCAATCTACATGTAAGACCAATTACTGCTAGTGGAGTCTGTGCAGACTGTGAAATGTCAAACAGATTATAGAGGAGTGTCTGGTTTTTATGATGAGCAAAAAGATCAAATTCATCTAATATGAAGATCACTGGGCAACTATTAGACCGGTCACCTAAGATAAAATAGGAGTTTTATATATTAATAAACAACTACATCAATCTTTCTTAAGTTTCCAAATTATTTACTGTACTTTAGTGGTTAAAACTCAATTCAACAAACATATATTGAAAACCTAGTTAGCGCAGGATACTTACCAATGCTTACACATTTATTCAACAACAAAACCTTATTCAGAGGACAAGATAGCCCTTACTCCCGTCAAGTAGTTCACAGTCTAATTACAAGACTTTAGTAGTTTACTAATGAAAAATTAAGAACATTATTTAAATAACTAGACTGTTGTTTTTAAAATTATGCAAATATAATCTTCGATCATCAAAAAATTGACAGGGATCTCTCTTAACACCCACAGAAACCAAAATACTTTGGGATTAATAATAAAGGGAGTCACTAACTTATGAACAAAACTTGAACAAAACTTTTGCTTCAAAAGAGATTTGTTTAGTCAGCGGAAATGCAAACTGAATCTTCCCAAGTATTTATAATTTTTATAAATAATCGTTAAACCACAAAATTTGACCAAAGCCTCTTTTAACTCCTAACCACAATTTTTTAAAGCACCCCCCAACCAAGTTTTAATATTTCAGGAACAGGGGAAAGTTCAACATGACTCTGTGAATTCATTTTTCTCATTACAATGAGGGAAACCATGAGGGCAGAAGAATCACTATTACCTTAAGGTAATCACTGTTACCTTATGGGGAGCCAAAGGCAGAGGGAGAAGCAGGTTCCCTGCTGAGTAGGGAGACTGATACAGTGCTCAAATCCAGGACCCTGAGATTATGACCTGAGCCAAAGGCAGCAAAAATAACCGACTGAGCTACCCAGGTGACCCTATAATCATTCTTTTAAATCTGGCACTGTTTAATCTGGAACTCTACGCATTAAAATTTACCCTAGGAAATAACTAAATGATCATCTAAGCATTTCTTCCTAATTATATACAAAGTTAGAAATCAGAGTTCAATAACTGGTAATTAATAACATAATTTATTATATTTTAAGTATAGTTAATATATAAAATAGAATATGAGAACCATAAAAATGATGATGTAGCTCACTATTTACTGACATAAGTGAACAAGATATACATTATATAATATGGAAAATCATTCTATCCTTATAAAAAAATTATGTCCATCTGCATCATTGATACACTACAGGTGAATAAAGATATGAAACCAAATGTTAATTGGGATAATCATGGGGTGGCTGGGTGCTCAGTCAGTTAAGTGTCCGACTCTTCATCTCAACTAGGTCTTGATTTTAGGGCCATGAGTTTAAGCCCCACTTTGGGCTCCATGTTGGGTGTGGTGACTTCTTAAAAAATAGTAATGATTGGGATAGTCACTATAATAGTTGTGGGATTACAGTGATCATTATATTATGACTTTTTACATTATCTTTTTTTTGTAAAAATATGTAATGCCTTTATAATCAGGGGAAAACTAAAGCTAAAAGATAACTTTTGATGTTATTAAATATGCTAATATTTACCTTTTTTTAAAGCTTCCAGAAGAAATGAAAGGTTTTCAGCAAAACTTCCCTAAAAAACAAAAAAAGACACTATAACTAAAAGTTTAACAAAATAAAGAATAAAAGAGAACTATCTGATTCTTAGGCATTACATAGACACTATGTATCTATTGTTTTCTAAATTAGTCAGTGGCCAGATTCTGAGCTGGAGACTTCCATGTGCACCATTAAAGACTTAAATAGAAAAGGAGAGGTGGCATAGTACTGAAAATGGCATTACCCTGCCATACTCAAAATTCTATATTTTCTGAATAAAATGCATAAAAATGTTAGCTTCAATTTAAAGGTAGTTTTTAAGACTTGTTGTATTCCAAATACTGTCTGAGAACTAGAAATCAGTGCACTTTGCATTTTCAAACAGATTAAGCTCTTCCAAGTTTCAGATTAATTTGGACCACTAAAAAAATGACCACATGATTCCAGTTGTATGTGGAATTTGAGAAAAAAAAAAACAACAAAACAGATGAACCCAGGGGAAGGGAAAAAGAGGGGGAAGCAAATCATGAGACACTTAACAACAGGGAACAAACTGAGGATTCATGGAGGGGAGGGTGGGGAGGGGATGGGTTAAATGGGTGATGGGTATTAAGGAGCACTGAGTATTTTATGTAAGTGAAGAATCACTAAATTCTACTCCTGAAACCAGTATTACACTATATGTTAACTAACTAAATTTAAATACAAACAAATTTAAAAAGCATACTACTAAAAAAATTAAGCACAAATTTAAATGAGATCCAAAAGGAAAGGGGAGAAGAAATTTGCCTTAATCATTACATACTATAATAGTTTCTCCCTATTCAAGAGCATATTATAGAATTTGTATGTATCAGATCAAATTTGACTATGTTTACTTGGAACACAGCCAAAACATTTTTGGATACAACTTATACATTCTACATGGAAATTAACAGAGAAGCAGATGCATTATCCAGATGTTCCAACTTGCAGATAAGGGCCCTCTTGAAATTTTTTTTTTCCATTTAAGTCATTAATTTTTACTTCATTCAGATTTTTTAATATTAAGAAATAGCCAACCTTAAATTTGTGAAGATGTACAGGAGAAAAAAAAATCCGCTTGTTTGTTTCCCCATTGAGAGAACTGATATAAAATAGCTGAACAGGTTTTTAAGAACTTCTACATATTTTATAATAACTGTATGTTGTCAAATCAACATTATTTCCAAGGCAGTTAGGGCAAGAGGTATTTATATAATATAAACAAAAGCTCAGAGGCAATCTGTGGGTGAGTAATCAGCAGTTGAAGTTATTCAAAGGAAGCTTGTCTTATGCTTTTTTTAAAAAAGACAGTTACATCTGACATTACATGTGAGTGTGCAATTATATAAGTACATATGCACATATTATAAGAATATCCTTATATAAAAACACATACGTATGCATAAGAATATACAAATTTGCTGTAAGTATATCAAAACATAAAGGTTCTGGGTCAAGTAACTCAGGTTCTTAATGTCTTAATATCCATTTTATGACCTTAGGGCAAGCTAATTATGCTCTCTGAGCCTCAGGTGACTTACCTATATAATGTAAAAGTTAAACTAATAATCACTATATGTGATGATTACGGTAACAACAGTAATGACTAGGATGATAAACAACTGTCCCTTTTATTATTTTCTATGAATTCAATAAGAACAGGTTCAATTAGGAAAGTCAGAAACCTCAGTCTACATCAGGGGCAAACCAGAAGCCAAACTGAGCCTATATAATAGTAAATCTCCTTGACCACGTAGGCCACTGTATTCAACGTTACATTTTGCACAGGAGGAAGAACTTCAGACTTACAGAAGGGGCATTTTGAACCTGCAGACAGTGTGAAAGGGTAACACATGATTGGCTTACCTTTTTACAGGTACTTATTAAAGAATGAAATTACTAAATGCTAAGAGGCTTACACAACAATGGCTGTGTTGTTGCAGGAAAAAGGAGACACTTTAAGAGTGATAACACTGTATGATCACCAGTGAGCATAAAATTAATTTGGGATGCCATAATCCACTTCAACTGAATAAGCAGTATGAAGTTAAATCATTTCATTATGAAAACTAAAGTAGCTGTAAATTAATTTAATCATGTTACTTTTCAACCTTATAAATCAAGTGATAGGGTAAAAAGTTTAATGAAAGTTCCAGAACATTTCTAATCAGTTTCATTTAAGTTACTGATGTTCACTATCTTGAGGTTCTAAGCTGTTACAATGATGAGATATGAATTAAGTTTCTGAAAACGTTTTAGTAAGAGATAATTGACATTTGTATAGAACATTACCAATCCAGCATTTTTAAAATATAAATTATGTTTAATGCTTGTCTTTAAAATAAATCTGTGAAGTAATAAGGATAATGCACATTTAACACAGATGAGAAAATTTGAACTTCAGAAATACTCATTAGCCATGATTACCAAGTAGTCAATGGTTTTAAGACAAGACTCAAATCTACCTTTTTTAGCTTTAAATTCAGTACATTTTGCATTAGTCCCAGCTACCTAAGTCTCAGAAGACTAAAGATAGGGTGCTAGAGTGTAGTACTTCAAAAAATACTTTAAACTATCTCCAAAGATAGGGAATCAAAGTATTTATCTTACAGATAAAGAAACTCCGATAATATCTACATAAACATGGATTTCTTGGCTCTTTTATAGTTAGTATAATCTACTTCAAAAAAATTTAAACATAAAGGTATGATAAATAAATGCATCCTACTACATTATACTTTTTTATGATAAGAATCTTTCATATTTCAATTTAGAATCCCTGAACCCACCCGAGCCTTCCAAAAATACGAAAATATCTACGGCATATAAATGTTAAAGACTATTAGGATACTTACAAAAACTTTATCTCCAACTACATTTTCCAGATTTAACTGCCTTGTGATTTCCTTTAGGGCAATTTTATCATTGATCTGCAGCAGTCCTGAAATAAAGCCCATTTAAAAGTATTTAACTAAGATGAGATATTTGAAACAGTGCAGATTATTTTCCAGTCAAGTTAAGCTTTCTTAATAATTTCTAACTTTAACTAGAAAGAAAAAAGTCAAATATCTGTGAGTTAACATTAATTTCTTTTTGAAACTCAGCAATGAAGACATTTGCTAGACTCAAAGAACTATCATCCTTGGGGTTCTTTTATTTTTTTTTTAAAAGAAAAGAAAAAACAAAAAACAAGAGTCCTTATGTGCCTCTTTAATCTTATTTTTTTTTAATTTTTCAAAATATTGTGTATGGTATATTAAAGTGAAAGTTGTTAAACATGGATAAAGTTCTTAAATTATGACTATTACCCACCTTTAAAACACGCAAGTAAATTAAATTTTACATTATAAAAAGCTCACATAGTTTATATCATTTCCAATGGTAAAACGATGACATACTTACCATTTAGGTGAACTTGTAATACATTTTCACTCACTTCTTCTACTTCCATTAGTTCTTTCAAAGCATGGTTTATTAACTAAATGGTATTAAAAAGTTTATGGAATATTTAATAATAAATAAAAATATAAGCTCATATTCTTTTAAAATTATGAACATAATTTAATTCATAATTAATGAATTATGGGAACATAATATAATAAAAAGATTGTCATTTGAAACTAACAAATAAGTTTGCACATTACTCAAAGATGAAAGAAAGGTTTAACGAGAACATCTAATGTCCGACTCAAGATGCCAAAGCCAGGACTGATGTCATACTCTTTCAATCATCTTCCCAAACTAATAAATGTTTAGAAACAACCCTCAAGTTTTCAAAGACATATTTCTCTATAAGTCACATAAAACTATAGCCACTTAAGAGCTTCATGTCTGAGTTCATTATTTATCTCTAACATTTATTCTACTAAATACTATTGAAATCACTTAAAAGCTATTGAAAAACATGTATTAGAGCAATGTTAAATGATTGTAAAAAGTCTACCACAGTCAATATACCGATTTCTATTGAATACTGTTAACTATTCTGTATGCTATCATGAAATAAAAATTTGAAAAACTAAGAAATACCAAGAGGTAAGTTGAAAAAGATGTTTCCTCTATGAGTTTCTAGGTAAAACAGCCACTCCTTATCTGGAGTTTCAATTACCTGTGCTGTGGAAGCAGATGAATCCTCCTTTTGACATTTTGGGCAGAAGGTCAATGCAGCTTAATGTACATAATAATGTCTACATCATTCACCTAACTTCATCTTATCATGTAGGCATTTTATCATTTCACATCATCACAAGAAGGATGAATATAGTACAGTATGATATTTTGAGAGACAGAGACCACACTCACGTAACTTTTACTATATTTGTTGTAACCATTCTATTTTATTATGTTATTATTTTTAATCTCTTACTGTGTCTAATTCATACATTAAAGTATACTACAGGTAAAGTTTACCATGTTAAAAAAAAACAGTACATATAGGGTTTGGTACTATCTGTGGTTTCAGGCATTCACTGAGGTCTTGGAATGTACGTCCCATGGGTGGGGGGGGCCTACTGCATATAGAGAAAGACCTTATTAAAGAAATGTAGAGGGGTGCCTGGGTGGCTCAGTGGGTTAAGCCTCTGCCTTCAGCTCAGGTCATGATCCCAGGGTTCTGGGATCAAGCCCCGCTGCCTGCCTCTCTGCCTACTTGTGATCTCGCTCTCTCTCTGTCAAATAAATAAATTAAATCTTAAAAAAAAAAAAAAAAGAAGAGGAGGAAATTAGGACACAGACACAGAGGGAAGACTGCCACATGAAGATGGAGGCAGAGGTTGGAGTTAAGCTGCCACAATCCAAGGAATGACAGCCAAGGATTGTGGCAGCTTAAAAAAAAAAAAGAAATGTAGAGCTTGCAATGAAAAAAAATTACTACTGATAATATAGTAACTACTAAAAATATACTCACAAGGTGTTATACCACCTTAAATTGTTCAATTATAAAGTTTTAGATATTTATAACTATAGATTCTTATGCCACATACTTCCTATTCTCTATTTTTTGACTTATGACATCTTATTACAACTCTATGGCAATATAATATACATCTCTTCACATTAATATTATGCAGTTTTTAAAAACTTAAAAATGAACAGAACTAAGAAAAGTCAAAAAACTTTTAAAAAGAAGAACAATGATAAAGGACACTAATACTAAAACTACTCCTATGATTAGAAAATAAATGATCCCTCAAAACAGACTGTGTATACAAAAAAAATTAGTAAAGATGGCATCAAAATTTAGTGAGGACAAAAAGGAAATTCAAAAAAGTCACTGGAACAATGGCAAACCATTTTGAAAAACAAAATACTATTTGTATTTGAAATATTGTACTTCAATCTGTCACTACCACATCTTTGTGAAATATGAAGTACTTTAAATTATTAGGTTTCACAACAGGTATCAAACATAATTCTGGTATATTTGTATTTTTGTTTGTTTGGTTTTTTTGTTTTGTTTTGTTTTTAGATTTTATTTATTTGTTTGACAGAGATGGAGAAAGCACAAGCAGATAGAGTGGCAGGCAGAGGGAGAGGAGAAACAGGCTCTCCACTGAGCAGGGGGCCCAATGCGGGGCTCGATCCCAGGACTCTGGGATCATGACCGGAGCTGAAGGCAGATGCTTAATGACTGAGCCATCCAGGCACCCCTAATCTGTATTGTTTTTAAAACAAATGGAATTCTGGGGTGGCTGGATGATTCAGCTAGTTAAGCATCTGACTCTTGATTTCAACTCATGCTATGATCTCAGAGGGGTAAGATCCAGCCCTGTGTCTGGCTCCTTCCTGAACATAGAGCCTGCTTAAGATTCTCTCTCTCTCGCTCTGCTTCTGCCCCTCCCCCAATACTTGCTCTCATGTGCATGTAAACTCTCAAAATAAATAACTAACCTAAAAAAATGGAATTCTACCTTAGATCATAGCAATCTAAGTCCTCTTAAAAAGGGAAATCTCAAAATATCAACTGTCATACTATGTAATAAAATCCAATTAAGAAGTGACATTCTTTGTAGAGAACTATCCAAAAATAAAGAGGTACTTCTTGGCTTTTAGAGCAAGTATGAGTCTATCATAAGACTTCATTCCCAGATGATACAAATGTGGTATGTCAAAATGTGGCCTCTGCCATAGCTTCTTGGTAATCTGCAATGTTCTTCCTCCCACCAAATGATATCTTATTTACATAATATTTCTATTTCTCTGGGTCTGATTGTATGTTCTAAATTATTATATGTTCGGTAAACCATTGAAAACTATTTTAAATTCTTTGCATAATGAAATGGGGAAAATAATAATACCTTCATTTTTTTATATACACATAAAGAGAGTTATTATAACATGGAAGGAGGATGGCAGCAAAGAATGAGGATCCTAAGGTTGCCTCCTCCCACAAATACAAGTAGATCCCAGTCAAATCATCCTAAATACCCCAGAAACCAACCTGAAGACTGGCAGAAAAAACTCCACAACTAAGTGTAGAGAAAGGACACAGAACACATCAAAGATGGTAGGAAATGCAGAGACGTGGCTTAGGAGAGAAATGGATCATAGCCAATGCAGTGGGGAGGAAGTCAGTCTAGAGAAGTGGGAAAAAGAGACTAACATACAGGGGAACACACAGGAAATGAATCCTCATAGGACTGGTTTGGAAAGCTAGAGGGCCTAAATTTCTTGAGTTCTTACAACCAGGGAGGCTTAAAGCCTGGGGTTCTAAAGATCAGCATGTGTGGTTCTGGGAGAGCTCGAAGGACACTGGGGATGCTCTTGGAGAGAAGGCAGGGAAAATTGTCTGTGGACATACAGCAATCTGAAGAGCACCCAATAAAACAGATAAATGAAACCAGGAGCTAGTTCTTTGGGGGAAAAAAACATGGGGGGGTGGTTTTATGGAGAGGGTGGTTGGGTTATGGACACTGGGGAGGGTATGTGATATGGTGAGTGCTATGAAATGTGTAAGCCTGACTATTCACAGACCTGTACCCCTGGGGCAAATAATGCATTATATTTTAATAAAAATAATAAAAAAATCAATAAAACTGATAAACCTCTAGCCAGACTTACCAAAAAAAAAAAAAAAAAAAAAAAAAAAAAAAAAAACCAACAACCAGAAAAGACCCAAATAAACAAAATCACAAATGAGAAAGGAGAAATAACAAACACTAAAAACTACAAGCAATTATAGAAGAATACTACAAAAAACTACATCCCAACACTGGACAACCTAGAATATGGATAAATTCCTAGTAACATATAATTTATCAAAACTGAAACAGGAAGAAATACAAAATTTGAGAAGTCCAATCACCAGCAAAAAACTGAATCTAATCAAAAAACTCTCAAGAAACAAAAGTCCAGGTCCAGATGGCTTCTTAGGTGAATTCTACGCAACATTTAAAGAATAGTTAATACCTATGCTTCCCAAAATATTCCAAAAATAGAAAAGGAAGTAAAACTTCAAATTCATTCTATGAGGGCAGCACTACTCTGATACCAAAACCAGAAAGACACCACAGAAAAAGAGAACTACAGGCCAAGATCTCTGATGAACATATAATTGCAAAAAACTCAACAAAATACTAGCAAACTGAATCCAACAATACATTAAAAGAACCATTTGCCACGATCAAGTGGGATTTATTCCTGGGTTGCAAAGGTAGTTCGATACTTGCAAATCAATCACTGTGATACAACACATCAATAAGAGAAAGAGTAAGAACCATATGGTCATGTCAGTAGATGCAGAAAAATCATCTGACAAAGCACAACATCCATTCAGGATAAAAACCCTCAACAAAGTAGATTTAGAGGGACTATACCTGAATATAATAAAGACCAATAGCTAATACCACCCTCAATGGGGGAAAATCTGAAAGCCTGTCCCCTAAGGTGAGGATAAAGATAAGGATGTCCACTCTCACCACTTTTTTTTTTTTAAAGGTTTTTCCATTTAATTTATTTGAGAGAGAGTGAGAGAGAACACAAGCAGGGGGAGCAGCAGAGGGAGAGGGAAAGGCAGGTTTCCCACTCAGCGAGGAGCCCTATGTGGGGCTCCATCCCAAGACCCTGGGATCGTGACCTGAGCAGAAGGCAGATGCTTAACTGACACACCCACCTCCCCTCAACCCATTTTTATTCAACATAATACTGGAAGTCCTAGCCACAGCAATCAGAAAGCTAAAAGAAATAAAAGGCATCCAAATAGGTGAGGAAGCAGTAAAACTTTGCACTTTTTGCAGATGACATGATACTATATATAAAAAACCCAAAACTCTTAAAACTAATAAATGAATTCAGTAAAGTTGCAGGATACAAAAATCAATGTTACATTTCTATACACCAATAATGAAGCAGTAGAAAGAGAAATTAAGAAAATAATACCATTTACAATTGAACCAAAATAATAAAATATCTAGGAATAAATACAACTAAGGAGGTGAAAGACCTATGCTCTGAAAACTATAAAAAACTAATGAAAGAAGC